GATTTAAATTAGTGCATGCTTTGTGCACCCTGAAGCCAAATGACCGAATCTTCCAGGCATCACGGTCCGAAGTCATTGTCAATTTGATCCACATAAAGGAAGAATGTTGTTTAGCACTTTATTAACCCTGGTTTTCAATTTCTTATGAAATCCAGATCTTGGAAGCCCTAGCGGTGAGCAACTAAAATACATCTCCCGGGTGAATGAAACTGAGGGGGGTGCTCCACACTCCTCTATTCTTCTATCCATTGGGTTCCCTATTTCTGGTATTGGCGTCGAATCTAGAATTGGACATATTACCTACGGTTACAGTTCTATGGCTTCAATGTACTTACATGACTTCTAGTCTTAATTAATTTGCGTAGCTTATCAGCCAGTAACTTTATGAACACTTTCCTTCTGGTCAGAATCAATAAAAAGTGAATTCTCATGCTTTTTCATCTGAGTATTAAGTAAGATAAAAGTGACTAGTTTTTAAAGGGCTTTGCTGATTACAGAAAGGAATCCTATTTCCAGAACGAGAAAAAATTTCACACAAAAAATTTGGCACCAAGGCTGAAGAATTCGTAGAAAGTACTGTAGAATTAAGATAAAAAAAAGTGACAAGAACTATTGACCAGAATTGACTTTAAAGGTCTGTGGGTGCGCAGGACCGAAGAATGCAATCCTTGAGTATCTTGAGCTCATGACGGATAAATTTTTTCTAGAATTTCCCTCCCGAAGACGTGATAACACACTACTGTGGGAAACTCCACAAATTAGTTTACTTCCTTACTCTATTTTTTTTTTATTGAACAATCCAACAGTCGCAATTTTTCAAATGTCAGCTGTCATGCTAACAATTTGAAAAGTGCCTCATTGATCGGCAAGTTTAAAGTCCAAAAATCGATAGTGCCGACCCTCACCACCCACACAAAATGCGCTTTATCCATTGGAAGAAACATTGACATTTCTGCTAATATGTAATTCAATTTAGTAAATGTTTGTTATTTTAGCATCCACATTTTAAGGAGAATGGATGCTCACAAATTCGTACACATGTTGCATAGGCCAGGATCTTATCTGTGCCTGTTCCATGCTTAACCCAAAATTTTTTTTTTCATTAATCTGTTTAAAGGAAGACCCCTCTCCTAAATATCCAAGTCATATCAAGCTTAGCTGATTTCCGAGGATAAGTTTGGAATCTGCCGTTTAACACTTCTTGATCTCGGGAAATCTTGAGGAATCCCGATGGTGAAATCTTTAACCCTATCGAAGTTGAGTGGAACTCAATTAAAATAGTGGTTATTTCACTACCCCAATGTTTTTTTTAAAATCATTAATAGTAATTTTTCCTTCCCCCCCCCCCCCCCCACGCATACTCGGGTACGCATTAGGGGACTAAGCATCTCCACGAATAAAGCTCTCTTCCACACAGTGCCTGATACAAAGCTGTATCTTAGAACTTTTCACCATTCAACCAGAATCAAAGTAAGGAGCGCACACCCGCATTTGAACCTCCCATGATGAACACCCAGGAGCATAGCCATTTAAATTAAAGGAGCCCAAACCCATTTGTTCCTTGAGGGATTGCAAAATTATGATGAGAAGTATCCCAAAATACCATTTTTTATTAAAACTTACAAAATACAGACCTCCGTATCAGAACACAGATTTTCCAAAAATCAAACCATTTTTAATGATCTCTAGGCCCACCTCTTAGGTAGAATACAAGTCTATTCATAAGCCTTTTTTGGTGAAAACGCCCTTAAGGAAAAAAATGATCGTAATTAAAACCACAAAATACTTTATTGTTAATCCAAAATTAAAAAAATCACGAAAAATATTTTAAAAAGTGGGAATACTCATACAGATGCAATGATTCCTCTTCTCCACTTACACCAAATCCGTTGTTGCAACTTGAGTTACTGGACACGCCTCAGCACAGTCCTAGAGAGAAAAATTAAATTGCAGCCAAAGAACGTGTCCGGTTGTTGCCTTCCAAATTCATCTGAAATGGACTGTCTGCGGTGGATCACGTCTAGGGGTCGAAAATTCAGTGTCTCTTTTGATCGTCTTTGAAACTAACAAAAAAGATAATTGAGAAGTCCAGAAAAAATTGGGAGACGCTTCTTTGCTACTAAAAACTAAGAATATTCTGCACAGAACCCAAATTAGCGTCGACTTCCTGTCTAAGTTGATTTCCACATCATTCGACTTTGGACTACCTGAGCAACTGCAAAAAAGGTAGCCGCATAAACTGCTTCAACTTCATCACAACAGCAAATCAACAAAAGCATAGGTTTGTGCATCCGCATTTCATTAGGCGTTGTGATAATAAAAATGATGTCAAAATTATTATTTTTACAAGGAAATTAAGAAGTTAAACATCAGAAATTAATCCAGCCAGACCCGCTGTGGACAGAAATAGATAGCATATGAATACTCGAGACAATCAACCTTTGAGGTTAAAGCCTGTTCGGCACCGATGTCTCGATTTAAAAGTAGGAGGATTGCAGTGTGGAAGAATTTCATCCTGGAAAATCACTATAAACCGCTTCAGGAGGGCACGCTTCCACTGCTGAAAGAAATATTGAGACGAATGCTGAAGTACCTTCACTTAAATTCACCCATACAATTATAAGAGCATGGTTTACTAATACAATCTTTAGTTTCTGCAAGGTGTTGCAAAATCTTTCCGCAGAGATGTCAGAGCATCTTCAGAAAGCGATCCGTCCACGTCCTCTACAGCATTAGTGGGCCAGCAAAACCTTGCACGTTCCTGTATTTAGGCTGAGATCCGTCAATCCCACGTCTTGCCAAGACCCGTCCAGGGGGAACCTAAGAATCAAGATGCTTTAAGTCCCCTGCCTTACTTGGGAAATGACTGCAATTTTGATTTAAACGCGCTCCTTGAACTCGATTACTGATTAAAACCGGCCTATAGGGAGAGGTGAAATGTCCCATGGGTGTTTCAAACACGTAGGACTTGCAACCCAAAGCACCACATGCATTGTCGACCCATTAAAACTTGCCTCTATGACTGATAACATTGAACTGAAGAAGAGTGGATACGATCATGGGAGGTCTGGTGCCATCATAGACTTCTACAAAATATAATATTTGTCATTTGAAAAATATAATGTTTTCCTGTGCCGGCAGCCCGAGTGGCAAAGAACTTAGATGAAATCAACTTTGAAGGTATTTGCAAACTGGTTCTACAACTGTTTTTTCCTATCCGAATGTGCACCTCCTAGTAAGATTTATTTGTTGAATGAATTGATACAATGCCGGGACTAACGTATATACACCTGTGTGAGTGACGGGGGGTACTGCTTCGACTTTATCAGCAGCCTTCTACCAGACTTTAAATTTTGATTTTGCATTTTTTAATGTTTTTTTTTGTATGGATAAAACGCTTTTACGTGGGGATTTGCTGAAACAGGGCCAGTGTTCCTCCCAGAAATGCTAGCCTTTTGGGACAAATACATCATTAAGCAGACATTTTAACTAAAAATATTCGCTTTCTGTAGGAATTAATCCAAAGCATGCATATCACTTGCATCTTTGCAAATATACTACGCATGAGACAGCTATTCTTCAAATGCACTCCATGGGCAGTGATATATAATGCCCAAACATGAGCCCGGCAGATCCATTAACCAGGTATGTGGGTCGCTGAGGCTGCACGGTTTGTGGGTTTTCGGATGATTAGTAATTCGCCACCGCCCTCGCAATAACCAATTTTACTCGGGACAGGTACCGGCTTGACTCAAGAGTCATAGCTATTACTACTATGTTGCCCTTTGCCTCTTCTAGAGAGCTGCGGTTGCACCTATACGTATTTTCTACACGAGATTAATACATTTTCCCAAAATTTTGCTGGACTATCAATGTTTTTCTTCCTTATGGGACCAAAATCATGTCTGATCTGGTAATGGGTCCTCTGAGGGCATCAACAGTTGCCTTCATTTGCAGCTGCAGTGCGTGCATAAACTCGATAGCATAATTCGCAAGATGAGGAATGGATTTACAGTGTTTTTACCTTATGCAGGGTATACGCCTCTCGAAACAGTAAAAATCGCTCAAAAAACCGTCACAACAAATGCAAGGAAGTGTCAAATGCAGGAGTATTTATTAATTCCGGTTTCGGGGAAAAGAGAATGGCCGATGTGGTACTCTTGCGCAGTCGTTGAAGTGGCTACTTTTGGATCGTATCCCATAGATTTGGGAAGATCGGCCTACCTTGGAATGTTTGCGAGGCTGCATAACACAAGAAGGATCCATAGTGAGTCAGTTTTGATTTTTTCCAGCAAAGGGCACTAAGCCCAACTGGTCATATTTGAGTCTCTGCCAGCGTCAGCTGTATTTTTATACGAATATCACCTCTCATTATTGTCTCAAAAGCAATAATTTTGTGAAAAATATGAACAGGACTAGGATACATTTTTTTGCAAAGCGACTCTCACGTCACTAATCCCCAATCCAATTTTGATTGTTGATTTTTATTCATCACTTCTTTGACTTATGAATTGAGAATTCAAAAACAGGAGTTTACGCGTTTTGGCATAGGTTTTGGGCTCAAATAAACCCCATTCTGCAAAAGCTGGAACTATGCCTTCCTCCTTAAAGGTTTGATACTTATCCCTTCTCCTATCCCTTAATTACTGTTCGCCTTTTCCCTGTTGAAAAAATGGGCCTTCTGGAATGAATTTGTATACATATTCGACATGGTTGATGAAGGGAACATCCCATGGGTACCACAGTTATTTTCCCGAGCGGCAAAACCTCCGGAATAAGTCCTCTTTTTGGAGACGTTGATCTCTAAGGCAAAAATAGGGATGTTTCAGACCCTAAATTACGCACAAATTGGGACGATTTCTATTCTAAAACCCAAGAAAGGAGTTCTGCCAAAGCATCGTTTTATTTCTTAAATATAGTGACGCAGTTAGCCTGATACTCTGCCTGGAAGGCACAGACCCCACGCCGCTTTATCAGGGGTAGAGCGATCATATGACGAGATGTTTCTTCCTCGTGTAGGTGGTGAACTCAACTTATTTTCGATCCCTCTTACTTGGAATTCAGATCGGAAAAAATTTACTCAAACCAAATTTGTATTTGAAGTTAGTTCACTGTCACTAACACAATTTCTTTTTAAGTAAAATGAACCCTTTGCCGACTGGCTACAGCACAATTAGGATTGGAATCGGAGAACTGTTCCTAGCATTGCGGTTGTTCGTTTCTCAAGTGCGTCTTACTTCTTCCGGTTTATGGCACTTGTTGTCTTGGTCTGGTCCCATGCTTGTTGTTGCTTCAGCTCCACGAAAGTTGGTTCTATTGTTGCTGTAGACGACTAGGACATCCTCACTTTCCAAGGAACCTTGAGAATGCTGTCAAGGGGTGGTCGGTATCTAAGGTATGGGCTTTCTCCTAACGAACTGTCCTCATACACGACTAAGCAAAGATACATCCATGGTGTTTCTGCAATCCTCTACCACAATCCACCAGCAGGTGTCCGAAGTAGTCCACACCAGCATCAATGAAGGAGTGTTCAATGGGCAGCATCCGATTCTCAGAAAATGATGCCCTATTCTGACCACTGTAATGGGAGTGCTAACGTCTGTCCTGCAAACGCCCTTTCAGTACACAACTGTTGCTACAAGCCCCGGATGCAAAATGCGATTTGCCTTTAGTGGTGCCACGCATGACATGACCTGGAGTAATGAACAAGTGGATCTCACGCGACTATCGACGAGTCGTATATAGAATCCAGCACTATACCGACTTTTGGTGCAACACTAAATGCTTGAAGTTCGGTTGTCACTAATGGCTTCCAATCCCTAGGTCTTTGGCAACGCACAACCTTCATGTTCTATATTTTTCGTAGTTCTCAAAGGCAATCATGGCAACAGATAATCTCATCACGCGCCATCTCATCATCTCAATTGATTTCACCCAAGACAGATCTTATGAAAGCACACTTGAAACTAATAGTCCCAAAGGGTCCCTTCCTTATCGTGGACAGGTAAGGCGAAAGTTATCAGCTCAATACCTGAAGTCCATTGGGTTCCCAAAGTCTTTCTTTCTCCTTAAGGGGGGCTACTGTTGCCTGCTAGGTAGGTTGAAACAAATGTGCTTCTCTTAGGGCTTCGCCTACCTATTCAACCTCTTTAACAGAGCACAGGCCCATGACACAATCAAAGAAATAGAAATCTCGTTTTGCTGGGTCGATTACTCTGCTACCACTCTCAGACGCTTAATGTTTTGTTTTAAGGCCAGGCTTGGGACTGAAGCGCAAACGCCGATGTAGACGATACTGGGATCCAAAGCCTCTGTTCTAGTGGATCTTTTACTAGGTAGAGATCATCTGGTCTACCTCGTAGTTGTTCTAGGTTGCTTGGTTGCTTGGAATGTCAGAACAAATTGGAACGCGAATCTCACTGGCCTTCATGAGTGGTTATGCAGTTTGGAATGTGGGTGGGTCATCAACTTTTGCTTTGGTGGGGCGCTAATAGATCGAGGCCGACCCACTGCAATGCTTACCCTCGTGTTTTAGGGCATCAAGTTGAACCTCAGATGGGTTCACATGGTGGCTCCATCAATGGATACATTAGCAGTGAGTGGCGAGTCAACGGTATGGAGACCTAACTTTACTGCCGATGGAACATCGAACAACTTTTAGTAGGGGTCGCTCTCCTTGGAGGCGCTGGCTACCACCACGCCAAGTATAGCGCAAACGCTAATCAGTAGGGTTGTTAAGGCCATTTAGCAAATGAAGGTTTAGGCTTAGAAAGGTGTTACTCGTGCGACGCCGTTAGAGGACTTAGGGATTTGAGGGTCTCCTTTGAGCAGTTGTTCCGATACGGGATGGTGAGGTGCTGTCTACTATAAAAAAGGTCAAATTGCGCGGTAATCTTTTACTTCATTGTCGGGTCATGGGGAGGGGTAGCACAGTAAGGATGTTCCAACGCCCTCGTACTTCGAGAGAATCACCACTTGGAAGCTTGGACATCAACCGAGACGGTGAAATTTTTGCGACAAAGTCTGGGGCGGAGGTGAGCTTTGTCTGGATCCGTTTGATAGAATCTATCAGGCTACTGGAGCTGGGGGCGGCTGCTGCTTTCTTGGGGTTGGGTAGATCCCGTTCTTGACCCTTAATTGTGCAGTGCAAGCTGAATTGACAACGGTGCCAAGGGAAGTAGGTTTGCACCTATTCGAAACGTCTACTCTGAGGTTGATGTGGCGGTCTCCGGCTGATGACGCTCATGATCCTATGCACCTCTTGATCAGACTGGTGTTTGGAGTTATTTCAAAGTGGTCGCTTGAGCTTCAATTCATCGTGTCAGGGGAGTTAGGGATCAACTCATCTAGCAACCTTTCAATTCAGATTTTAATAATGGTGTGGTACTTCGAAGCGGGGTTCTGGAGTCCGAGGCGTTTTTGCAAACTTTTCAAGGGTCTGTTTTGAGACATCTCGTAGAGAGTTAGGTGTCGTTGGGGACAGCAAGCTTATGTGGTTTTGGACAGTATCGAGCTGATCACAGTCGTGGAGGCTTTGGAGAGCTAGTTCGTGTCATTGGATTTATCCAAGTTCCCGTCTTCTTGAATTTACTGCAACGTCGTCTTGTGTGATGCGTTTCATAGCATCGGCCTCTAACCAGTGGTTCCTCCTTATTTGAGTTCGCCTTTTGAGTTCTAGCGTTTCTTTTAGAATTAGGGCAGCGAATTTAGCGGTTTTGGATTTTCAAATTTTCCCCTTACCGTTAGTAATGCAGAGGTGCCGGGGACGAAGGTAATGGGCCACAATAATATTAAACCAATTGACAGCTGTGGTACCACCTCAATCTTGCTAGCTTAAATGCATGACGAGGGCGGAACACGGAACCGGTACAGCGAAACAAGTCAAGCGTGGAACCGTGTTTGATTTGTCCCGTTTAGTCAGGTGGACGACCGGTTTTGCAGAGGAGTGGCAGCAACGACAATGTTGGGGTGGGCGAGTGCTGGTCGGTGACTCAAAACGGAAGCGGTGGAGGCCCTGTGCGTGAAACCTAGCAACGGATGCAACTACTACTTAAATAAGGGTCGTAAAACTTAAAAAAGGCGAACTCCGGCAGGGGGGACAAAGCAACACCAAGTGGGTAATAATTGCTGTTGGTAATTAACAGGATGTTTGTCTTCGATAACTGACGCACGATTTGTATCTAAGCGTGCCATGGCGGTGCAGCACGACACCGGGCACTCCCCGTGGAGTTGGCAAAGACAGCAGTAACCAACAACGGTAAACAATCCCACAAGCACGTCTCAAGCGTAAATATCCGCTACCTTCGAGCCGTACTACTACCATTACCACCATGTCGGGTGGTGTTCCACAAATCGGACATGCCGACAACTTCCGTTTGTTGGTGATGGTGGTCTGACGCCCACCGATACTCCATGTCGCCACAGTGGCATGGTTTTCGGACGTCCAACCGCTCTGCAAGGCCACCTTTCCGGTTTGGATCTTGACTTTCTTCACTTTAAGTAGACCACTATTGCTAGTCACGTTGTGGAATAGGCCTTCAAAAGTGGTAGCATAATGCATCAGGTGGAGTGGTACTTTTGACCTACTGTACTGTAGCGTCCTGAAACTTCTCTGAAGACGAAAGAAGACATAACGGTTAGGCAAAAAATGCATTTTCGACATATGGTGGGGCTGAAAGGGCGGCTACTGACTAGCTGGAGGCCATGCCACTAAACGGGAGTAAAAAAGCGGAGCCTTAAGTGCCTGTGAAACCAAAATAAGGAGGTAAACAATCAAAGTATATCATAGCTCCCCTCTTCTTTTGAGCGTTGCCCTAGCACTACCCTTGGGTATTTTTCCGTGTCGGCCATCATAACGTGGTCTGTGTTGTGCGAAAAAACATTCGCCATCCAACCGTGCCAGCCATCAAATTTGTGTGCAATAGAGAAGCTACTTGGCCGTGACATTACTGATACCTCTTGGCAATCCCATTCCGATCTGGAGTTTCGTCCCATTTTGGAACCGCATTGGGGAGGGGAGGGGAGGGTGCTGACCGCCTTGCGTGTCCATCGCTAGTCGTGATAAACCCATATTAAAAAAGTCATTTGATAAGAGATGAGGTTTAAAAGGGGCTAACACGGATAGTGCTCTGCATCTATCCCTCATTGCAACTTTGTCTCTACTTCACTGCTCCCCAGTCATACTATCTGGGCTCTATCCAGATAGTAGGGAGGTGGAGGAGGTACCGCGTGTTCACCTCCCTTACATCTTTTCCTGGTACTGCAGGCAACTCCGTAACAAACTTATCCAGATCGATCACGGACAAGGCCAGCGCAATTTCAATTATTAATAGCGTCCCTGTAGAATAGGGGATCGGGGCAATTGCTTTAGTAGACGTCATTTTCAAACCTTCCTTTAGAAAAGTCGACACAGATTCTCTCCTGCGCGGCCTATGCTCTTCTGCCACGTGAAGGTTTAGCATTGAGTGATGAAAATCAAGATTGCTGTCCTTTGGGATCGGGTTTGGTTTCCGAGGCCACCGGTGTAGCCCCTTCGATTCTTCCCTGAAGACGAAAGAAGCCATAATACTAGGGTAGAACATGTGTTACTGACATACAGGAGGGCTGGGGGAGACTACTGGCACGGCCCAAAGGCCATTCTGCCCAGCAAAAGTACAAAGGCGGAGCTTTAAGCACCCTTGAAACCAAAACTGAGAGTCAAGCAAAAAGTCAAAGAATTACAGTACAACAACGGGTTTAGTGATTTGCACTTTTCGAGCCCCCATTTTAATCTGCCCGCTGCCCCATCCCGGTAACCACACCGGCATTTTATCTCCAGCCAGCATAAATGAAATGTACTAACGTAGCCTTGATTGTAAAGTGAAAAAAGAATTTAAGGTGGCCGGCTGTTCCCGATAGGCCGTGGATTTCGGTGAGAACAAACTGTTGCTCTCCCACATTGCGAAGAGGCATCAGTTCACATACTTTGCCGAAACGAAGCAATTAATTCGTACTTTGGATTCTCCTCTCCCCTCAATCTAATCCATATGCAAGTGTGACCGCATTGGGATGGTGGTGGGGCAAGGTTTCATAAAATCACTTTCATCCACGTAAAAGCCTCCCTTGTTTTTTGCCAGAACCCCTACTCTGGCTGCGCTGAAGACAATTTAGGTGAGGTAGAAAACCACTAGAAAGTATGCATGTGACAGGGTTGAGGAGGCTTGGATAAGGAGGCTGAGGCGAAACTTGTGGTTTGATTCAAGGTGGTGGATCGTGTGACAGTTGTTCAACCGTGGATACTGGCGTTCCAGATTTCATTAAAGTGAGGAACAAAAGTGAAATTTAGATTTAACCACACTTATTTTATTCTCGGATTAAATTCTACTGGTGGAGGTTGTGTTTAGTGCACGAGGTAAGGCCTGCACAGAAAAACGAAGTTGCACTACAAACACATAAAATCAGGTCACTTAAGGGGCCTAAAAGTACGCCTATTACAGCCTCGCGAATTAGTTGGGCTATCAGGGGATGTTATCAGCGGAGTGGACATGCCTAATTCGATTAACAGAATCCACGTGACCCCGGTCTGAACAACGCAATCGAGCTTAATGAAGATGGCAAGATGCCCACACATGCTCCTCGGAGTATCCATTGCCCCATTCGCCCCACCTTCCATCATCCGTAGTGGACGGTGTTTGTGCTCCACCAGTCCAAGTTAGCGTCCGCTTTGACTCCATGCCAAGTCCATGTCACAAAGCATTGAATATACAGAGATACGGAAATATGGCAATTTCGGTTTATGCGTCTTGCAAATTCACGACGAGCGTTTAATTGGAAAAGAAGGTCACAAGTGAGATGGGACCCGGTTGCGCTTAGAGATTTTCTCGGCCGACAAATGCTGAGACAGCATCAGTGATAACCAATGGGTGGATTAGAGGTTTCCACCCGGAAGCTCCGCATTATCATCTGCCTTCTGTGGATTTCTGCCTGCAGAACTCGCCTCCCACTTTATGCACTCCAAATCCACGGACGCCTCCTTTTTTTTGACACCACCTTGTGACGACAACAAATACCCAGGCAAGTCAGTAGTTGGATTTTATCATTTCCGTTGCACTTTTGGTATTTGGTTAATCAAAAGGGGGCTTTTTTAGGGGTAATCAAGGTACCCTTTTTTGGATCAGCATAGTTCAACTTTTGGAACCAGCAACAACTGTTTGTTAACTGTTAGAGCTCGCAATTGAACACATCAACTTGGTTGGATTTCTGAGTCTGAACAGCAGGCTACTCACCTATTCTCTCTCGCAGCACATGACTTGCTCAAAATTGGAGCATTGGCTAGGCCTCCTGCCAAGATCGCTTGTGGAAGGGGGGGGCGGGGAGGGGGGAGAGAAGAGGGCAGAGGACTAAATGACTGACGCTAGGCGCACATAGACCTTTAGTTGTGGCTAGCGCCAGCCATGACGTGGTGGTCTCCAGGCCGTGTTGTTTACACTGTGCGCCTGCTTTTACCTCTGTCGCCACCTTTGTCGTCGTTGTCGCGACGACCCCATGATAGCCTCTAACCGCGCGCACAGGGGAGATGATAGTGACAAGCGGTTTGTTTCATCATGCATCACAGGGTGGCGGGCTTGTTGATACATGAATGTGCGACCTCTCATCGTACTAGTATTGGTAATAACTTGTTTCTCAGGAGGCCTTACTTGAGTGGTGGTATTTGGTGATGCACGGATGCTGATACCTGGGGTAGCGGTTTCGACCTACCCCAGCCTTGATATTGAAGGTTTAAATTAATTTTCTCTCCGTAGTAGTAGATAAAAACATTCGAACTCTCATCACTTTTGCCATATTAAACAGACAACAGTATTATCGCCTCTTAAATTGAGGTGTTGGATACAGGTGCTAGGTATCGGATTGATGATATAGAGGAATCAACGGTGCAGAATGAGGCGGATCTGTGAGTTGCGCAACGTGAAACCAGAGTTCAGCAGCTTCATTACTTCTAGAGACCCTACAATGCCGGTAAAGTCGATTCGTGGCGGTGTGGGTGATGGGTTGTTGTTTTTTTGGGTAGATTCCACGGCCTTAAAAATGCCCCAATAGATCGGGTACTTAATGGGTCCCATCAAATTAAAACCCATGATGAGGTCACAAAGGATGTACTTATGGGAGAAGTGATCCTAAAGTTGTAATAACGACTTTGTCAGTTGGGAGAGGCATGAAATGCGCGCGGTGGAAACCAAATTTACGAGAGTATAACATTAACTATGGACAGTCATCCCCCCATAGGATATGCTCGCCCATCTCAAAAGTGTCAATCCTTCTTCGGTGTTGGCTACAACCAGGAAGAATTCCTTACCCCAGCTTTTGGTTGAGCACAGTATGCTTTCAGCGTAGGAAACCCAACTTATGTAGATATTTCATTCAACGCGTTTCATCATGCCGCAGGAGGCACGCCTGTTTAAACTTGAGAAGACGGCCTCTCTATACTTGTGGTGATGCTAGCACGAGACAATGAAACCAGGCTCATAGCTGTAGGCATTAGGTGCGTAGTTTAGAGACTTAAAAGCGGTAGTCTACCTTCGTGATAAGGCCAACTTTGTGTTGAATCAAAGGGCATTACATTGCACATACATTGACAGCAGCGATACGTTTAATTTATGCGTTGAATGAATGGACTAAGAGTACATCTGGTATTTGATAATGCCTCAACGGAATAGTCTTATCGGTAGTTGAAATAGCTACTCTAATGTACTGGAAAGTGGCTACCACCAATTAAACTGATCTCTCATCCCCAGGAGCGGGCCAAACGAGTTTAAATGGACGGCGTTAAACCCACAGGCACAGCTCATTTGCCAGGACTAATCATGCGTGACATTGCGGTGGGTTTAGTGACATCTGACTTGGCAACCTCTTGATATACCACTAGCGGTCTTGCCGACTACACAAAAGGCTCTAGGTTGGGTTGCCTGTAAGGTGAAGTCAAACCCGTGATAATATCACTCTCCCCATCAAGTTTCACATCTTTCCATTGCTGTAAACGGTACCAATGTCTCCACAAGAGACTACTTTTGAGGTGAGTAGAATGACGGTAGACAAATTGTGTTTGTCACATATGAGGTATGTCCATGCCTGTGAATGGGTGTCCCTACGGCATTACCAAAGGTATGAAAGCTGTCACTTACAGGAGGAAAGTGTGGAGGCATTTCAGAATATATGAATGAAGAGAGTAGAACTAGTCTGAATTCTGGAAGGTGCTGGTGATTGGACTATTACTTGTGGTCTACGTGTTGGTACCTGCATTGGAAGGGTTGGGGAGGCGGGTGGGGGGCAACTGCGGAGGTGAGTATATCAAAGTCTTGGCGACGTCGACAGATGAGACTCCAACATTTAGATCATGAGCTACGTGGATGATTTATGCAGTGGGTTGAAACAGGCTGAATTCTGGAAACTATCGTTTGTCGGACAAATTTGTTTGATGTTGGTGTCTGGTTGTCTTTCCTCACTGCCTCCAAGTTACGAAAATAAGTTGGCAATTTGCCAAACAACTCATAAAGGTATTCAATTTTAGGTACCAGTTTACCGAACGAATATAGTTGGTTAATCAGAGGGTGAGTACTTGGAGAAAAATTCTTATCAAGTCCATCGCTTGGTTGTCGGTGAGACAGCAAATTTATTTGCCCTGTCGACTCTATGCATTGCATAATTTGGTTTCATCCAAAAAGATGCATATTTCCACAGCTCAGCAATCAAGTTCACTTGAACGCATCTGAATATTGATGCATTTTGAAGTTTCAACTCACCAGTGTTGGAGTATTCCAAAAGTGACAACTTCATATGTCGATTAAATGGCGACAGAGCTTCCCGAATTCACTACATTATCAAATTTGTTTTGTGTCTTTGTCCAGCTTTAGAAGGAACGATTAAATTCTTAGCTTTATAAATTGTTTTGAAAAAATGATTCGGAGCAATATTAGGTGTAAACAGTCAACAATTAGACGGGTGCTTCTTGCCTAAATTACCGATTTCCGAGGTGCCGTTTTATTTACAAATTGAGAACGCCCAAAACGGCAACATTTTTAATAACAGGTGATTGTGTCACTAAATGAACTTAAATTAGCACATGTAATAAGCTGCGGTGACGGTGAATTTTGCACCGATTTTGGTCATGTGCCGTTGATCGAATAGAGTGTACATCAGGATTGTACCCGGGGTCACGACAACCGCGGTCAGGCCAAAATGCACAGAGGTTATAGTTACATGGGTCCAGCACTTTTGCACACAAACAAGAGCTAATTTTGAAAAAAAAGTGATTATTTGTTCTGTACAAGAGTTATATGAATTTATAGCCAAGTGAGTTGCATCACTGTGGCAGAGGATTTGCTGTTAGCAGCCCAACATATTAGTACGTCAGTAATAAAGGTGACTTCGGCCTCTCCTTCCTTCACACTTATTCCGCGATGACTTTATTAGTTAAGTTAGGTGTTTTCATCAAGGAGCTTAAAAACGTCTAACATGACATTAGAATTGTGAGATGCTACAGAAAGAGGAGATGTAGTGAGTCGATTGGAAATTGGATCCAACAAATTGGTGCCGGAGTAAATTAGGTACACATTACGGCCCCAAAGCAAATAAACAGTTTCGGTGAAATTGAAATTGCTAAATCCGTTAATTGTTAGGCCTGGAAGCTAATATAATCGGATGTAAAAATAAGGTCGTGCGGATTACTGTATCATGTGCTGCACCGAATTGTTGGTATTGCTGTGTATGTAATGGTGTGATACGACATGGCACTGCATGACACGACATGACACGGTACACCTTGTTGTGCTCTGCCCCTCACTTTCAACCCTCACACCGAATTAAACGGGTGCAGGTGGTGTGAGTTGGTTAACTCCAATGTTTCGCTGTTGTTTAAGTTGCTGGGGTATCTTGTCAAATCGGTTGTATAGTATCTGGAAGGGGGAAGGAATGCGGCAACAAAGCGGGCCCCAGACCAATGATTTAGCTCATTACCAGTTAATTCAGGCCGAAAATAACTTACTTGCCTGCACAGGTGAATGGATGGATAGGTAGATCGGTGGTTGGATGGGTGGTCAAAAATGGAGAAATAGTTGGGCGTATCACGTTCAGAAGGATTCTTCTTCCCTCATTGCAAATAATTACGCACCACAAGGAGCTTTGAAGACTACGGATTCACTCCCCTCTTCTCTTCCAACCTCTTGGAATCGAGCAGTAACTTTCAGATTGTTTGTTAACTGATTGACTGACTGAACAACTGAATGGTGATGAGAAATGGCTGCAGAGCTTTTGTATTCCGTGGTTCACCAGATTAGCCAACACATTAATGTTTTTTCCCATACGATCCACATACCGCCACACAGCACTCCATTCCACTCCACCTCAACATAACCCATCCAAGCCCATCCAATCGCATATTGATAATATTCACTCTACTACACTTCACTGCACTACACTTCACAATTCTAAGACACATGTACGTGTAGGTGGATGGGTACGAGATGGATGGTGGATAGAAGACACAGGTATTGGTCATGAGTTCTTCCTCCACTGGAATCCACCCCTCAAATAGCAATGAGATCGGTCCACTTACTGTGATGCAAATGGGATTGCGAATGCAAGTGTAACAGCAACAAATGTAAGGAAACGATAGACCAATCCGTTCCGATGATGTGCCGATCCAACTCCCAGTTATATGCGACAACGCAAAGGGTTTCCTGTTACCCCATTCCTCATTACGCCAACGTCACGGCACTGCCCCAGACATCGCACCTTCGCGTAGAACTACTTCAAATAACATGCCGAAGTGCTCCAGTCTGGAAGTCGCTTTTTTAAGCAATCAATGAATCAGGTGTTGGAGTCGCTAAAGCAAAAGGGAAGGTGAAAATACGCTTGATTCTTCTTACGCATTGGTAAACAGCCCATTGGTATGGCAGCTTGAAAGAGATGGGCTTCTGTCAGGGGGTGCTATTGAAGGAAAAGCAGATTGCTTTAATGACAGGTGAGAGCGGAATCTTTTCTGAGGTAGTCTGTACACTGGAGATGTGGGGACACGAACTCGTGGCATCAAGTTTAGCATTTTAATAGCCGCTACGAGTCGTTTCGTCTGAAGTAGAGATTACCGCACCAGGATGGGCCAAATCATAGGCAGGTAATCGTCCATCTACTTGATACCTGCATTCCATTTAACTTGAATGGGTAAAAGTGCAGCGAATAAAGGTGTGAACTTTGTATCCTTCCCTATGAATCTGTTTACACTGGCTAAGACTATCATCTAATAAGTTCTTGTATTTTCCTGAAATGAAGAGGTAGGCCGATAGTAAGTAAACACTTGGGAACGATAAAGGTGTTTTTTTTGCGTGTAAATGTAAATTTACACCTTAGCCCACTGCCGAACAAGTAGTCATTTACTACTTTTGAGAGGCGCAAAATTTACGCAAATTCTTGCAAAGTACCTTAATAAATGTGACAATTATCGTGCTACTTATTTTTTATAAGTAAAATAATATGTGCCCCTGGATTCGTAGTTGAACTGGGAACTGATTACTGAATTCTTGATTAAATTATCATTCAATTGTTTAATCCAAAAATGAATTTTTATGTACTTTTACTTGTATCATAGTTTAATCACAGGCTTATGTGAAACCACTGAAATCGTTCCACTAAGAGCCTCTTCCATCATATACGGGTCAGTCGGGTTCATTAGAGGTTGGACCATTTCTGTTTCAGTTGCAATAGGCAAATACAATCGCAGCTACAGTCACTTCACACCTTACGAGTTGCCTCATATTCAGCTAATACTACTTTATCTATGGTCATTGGTGAGTAAAAGTACCTAATTTGTGATTAATACAGAAGACTTCCTATTGGGCAAGATTCGTTAGCGATTTTACAAAAGACGAGACCAAAAGACGATATTGAAGGCTTGAAAGGATTTTTACATCGTTTGAAAACGATAAGTTGGACTAGAATAGAGGCGTTCAATATTTAGAGTGATTTGAAGGCTTAGAGCAGGTCAAAGAAGAGATGAAATTGGCTTGGAGAGGTCTTAGAGAATTCTCCCATTACATAATTTGAGCTGAACTTATGACCTCACTGCTAAGATTAATGCAATAACTCCTGAGATAGTTTCACATATATGCTTGTCATTTTAGGTGTAATGGGAATTGTATGGGATTTGGAAAAGGCAAAATTAACTTTATCTGATGCAGTTGCATTCACACCGTTTATTTACGGAAAAAATGCAAAAACTGCCTCATGTTTTTAAATCATAGCTACTTTCGGCACAGCCTGACGAAGTAAGTTGGAAAGTATTGAAAAATAATCTGTTACTAAGAAGTGAGATAACGTTTGCACCTCTTCGTGCAGCAGCGTCAGAGAGTGACACGATGGAGGTGATTTTGGCATAAGTGACAACAATTTGGCCGAGGAGAAGGATATACAATCCTTCATTTGACCTGTTAATTAAAAACTCAATTTCAGCCAATCTAGGGCTATAACTGGCCACCATTTCTGCCCTCAATCCACTTTAAAGCTGTCTATTCCTGTGTGTGATTGTGAAATGCCAAGAAAAATTGCTAATTGTCACCTGAAAAATACGGGTAGTGGTGTACAGAGGCTGAAGCGGTATCTCTCCCCCCCCCCATAACTACTTCTCCTCTTTGTTACCATCGCTATTATCACTGTCTGTAGTCACTTCTTTCTTAATAAAACGCACTTTTACGAATTCATCCACAGAACGCCTTGTCTCTCTCTCTCTCTCTCCTCTCCAAGTTGTCTTGAGGTAACCAAACTGGCAATAGCAACCTGGGTTTTCTCCTTACTGCTACCCATTAATTGTCTGCTTCACATACATTTTAATTACCCAATGTCAGAAGGGTTTACAGTACAATCGCATATATCGTGGAGAAAGACAATTATTGGTGTACAATAGAGAAGGGTTGAAGTATGGATGAGGTGAAGAGTGGTGAGACAAGACCAGGCAAAAAACACTCTTGCCCTCTCTGCATTTCTGCCTACCTGTCATCCCTCCTTCTTCGTAATCGCAATGTGTGGGCCAGTTTTGCTGCCTTAACTTTACGAGGCATCAGGTGGCCTTTCATCTTGGCACATTAGACTGTGTGTGGGAGCAGCAATTCATTGCAAATGAATAGCTAGCTCAGAGCTGCCTGTGCTTTCCCCACACATTGCGGTTGCAGTAGCAGTCTCACTCCTAGTGAGTGGGCAGATGTCAGTGCAACTTGGTGCTTAAATTCCTGTGGAGGAAGAATTTATGACAAATACTGGTGTCAGCTACCCATCATTGATCCTATCATCTACACGGTGAAATGCTGTGCACTGGAGCGGGGTGGGTGGGTAGAGCCTCCTGCATCGGTGACTACTTCCACGGTTGGGATAATTGCCAGCAGTGAAGTATGATGCCTCTAGTGAAATAGTGCAAAGGCCTCCAGTCCTGGCAATAACATCGGCAAGGAAGTGCAATAACAGAACCAGGAATGTCTACCAGCGGTCTACGATGTCGTATGGCAACACCACTTACTCTCACATGACCGACAGGATCTGCGCCTAAACGTATCTGGTGAAGGTGGGACATCCCAGTTTATCGTCAACGTCAAGCTTTTTGCTTCCAATGCACAAATAATTTGTTGCCCATTGCTTCTCTCCGCATGCTTTGATCGTCCTTGGGGAGTTTGGATGCATGGATGCAGTCTCACTGTACCTATGCAAAAGCCATCTCACATGGAATTTAATCCAATTGGAAGCACTTTCTTGCATGCCCACGGAATACTCAGCCAACTACACTGAGGGACAGTTGAAATGTGACCGTGCGACACAGGCATGAATTGGCTCCTTTTGCTGACGAAGATGTCGTAGTGCACTGATACCTTTCCAATTCGAATTGCCTTCTCTCTCCTCACACCTTCGTTTCACTCAACCTTTGACCATTCCCTTAACTCATTCTTGCATAATTTATATTTGGAATTGAGGCACTGGAGCAGACGGGTAGGTAGGGAGAACGATCAAAGCAACTTCAAATAGTAACATAACTAAGAAGCCTTGTTGAGCAGTGAGTGAGTAGGAACGTAAGTCATGCCAATTCTTTAGCGTTGGGAAATCACAGAAGGGAGATGGAAGATAAAAGCGGTTGTCTTCTCCAGATACAACAGTCAAAGGTTGTCGAATTGAGTGAAGGTGGATCACATCACGTAGTTATGTGAGCAGTTGAACCATTTCAGTTCTCCTTCAAATCACGCCAGTCTGAAAGAAGAAGGATGGGAAACTATGGGCACTACTTCAAGGTCATGACCTCGGGGGCATGTACAAACTGTGATGATGAAGTGGACCGTGAGATTAAGCGTACGCAAAGATCACTGTTGAGATATTACGCAGCCTCCTCATTTTCAATGAGTAATTTACAACGAAAAAACTGAAAATGCAGGCAGCGATGTCCTAGACGGTGATATATGAAATTGATCCGGAAGCGGAAGCATTCAATTGATTGGTGCAGTCAATAGACTTCCAAATTTTAGTTTGGAAAGTGACTGGATCACTGAATCCCAAGGCAGAAAATTAAGCGCACTATTGTTTGCAATGAGTAGTCAGGGTATTTTATCTGTTTTCAAGCAGTATATGTGTGCCAAAACGAGGACGAAAGGGCATTTGAACATTACTGCAAACAATCGTGGAGTTGTTTTTTGATCTCTCACTCCATTTGTCTCCGAATGCCGACACAATTTGTGCCAAAAGTCATCGCACTAACTAAGCTTGTAGTGGTGCTGATGGCTGCAGAGAGGACAACAAACACCTTCACATTTCAGGCGTGAATATTTGCCACCTTCGAAACACTGTCACACGTTGCTTCATACCCACAAGTCGGGCGTGCCGAAAACTTCTGTTTAATGGTAGAATTAGCAGACATCTGGTGACTCTTACTGATGTTCTACGGCGTTGCAAGGAATGATTTGGGGGCAGGCAGCAGTTCTACAGTCACCTTACCGATTAAGGTCGAGCATTCCTTTACCGGCCGACTACAGCCTCCAAACATTATTAGAGGAGGAGCAGGTACGCACGTGTTGATAATGAGGCATTGTTCAAAGGTACAACTAAAATCTCATTTCAAATGATGCTTTTTCATTTTCCTAGTGTTACGGCTGTTGTTAGTAGGTTAAAAGGCATCATGAAGTATTCTCACTCACAAGTTGAGAAACTGTTTGCACCACCTCTTTATGCTTCACCGTCAGGATGAGACACAACGGCAGTGATTTTGGCATAAATGACAATAAGTTGCCAACCGTTTATTTGAACCTGTAAGTTCAAAGGCCTTTTCAACAAATCAGGAGTTCTTACTGGCCACCATTTCTGTCTCATCCCACTTCTGAACTGTCGAATCCAAATATGAAGGTGCGATGTGAGGAACTGATGGTAATTAGGCATTAATTGCCTCTCTCTCCCCTCTTTCCATTATTGCTGCAATTAATCTTCCATTCTTTCCCCTTAAAATATGGTTAGTCTCTGGCCCTCTCCCTCTTTCCCTCCTTTTTGCTTTCTCGCTGCCTTTATCTCCCCCTCTTAAGTATACAATCAGGTTGTAGCAACTTAGGTTTCCTCTTCACTGCTACCTACTGACTGTCTGTTTCGAAAATTGTGATTGTCCAGTGTCGGAAAATGTAGCATTACCGTCAAGTATAGTGGAGAGTAAGACAAGCTGATACATACAGAGGAGAGGGATAGGAACGAGGATGAGAGTGAGGATGAGGCGAGACGAGATAAGGTGGTACGATAAGAAAAAAAAGTCAAAATTACTCTTCCTCGCCACTCTCTCGCTCCGTCTTTGTAATCCCTACGCGGGTGTCAGTTTTGTGATTTTGGAGCTATGAGGTATGGATGAAGAAGTGTTCCTTTTTGACTGCCGTTTGCCGCCCCATACATATTTATCCATTCATTAAATCATCCACCCACCATTCAATCCATCCATCTATCAACCCACACATATATTAATCCGTCCGTATCCAAATATCGATACATCAACCCGGCATCCTTTCATCCTTTCATTCATTCAGTACCTATCCATCCTGTATCCTTCCATCCCTTATTCATTCATCCTGTATCCATCCATCCATCCATCCAACGTCAGTATATTCACAACTACAGTTGGGATCAGTCTCACTTCCAAGTGAAAGGTATAAATGGCTCGCTGTCAATTTGCTGAGCGTTAAGATAAAAGCATAAAGAAATATGAATTACCAGGAGAAGTCAATCTCCATTCGCCATGTTAACGGCTTACGCAACCGTTCCGTGCGCCATAAGCACGGAAGAAAGAAACTCGTCAATTTTATATTAAGTACAATATAACTTTATATTAAAGATTAGCAAAAAAAGCTTCAAAAGCTTTAGACATAATCAAAAATCTGATGCTATTGCATTCAATGGTGTCAGGTTTACTGGCAATGTAGAAGCCCTTTGTCTAAAAATTATTCTGTGTAATTTGTTTGTGATAATTTCCTAACCTTTTACTTAAAAAATTCCCATTCGGGTACAATGTTTTTTCTCCCACTCGGTGACAAGCGTAATTTCCTGCATTGGGTTGAGTTTTTGGAATCCACCATGTAAGAGGGTGGAATCTGCAGAATTTGGGGAGGGAAAGCGAGAAGAGAATGCCATCCCATAAAAGCATTTTCTATTTGTGCTTGCCTGCTGTTCAAATTACACCGCTACAAGTCACATTTCGTTGTAGCATCAGTCAAATCACAGGACTACCATATGACAAGGAAGGCTTGCTACCTATGTGTTATTTATAAAAGGTGATGATCCACCGGATAACAAGGTGAAGCGTTAGCAGCACAAAACGTGTCCATAGGGTCAGAATCAATGTGACAAGAGAGTTTGCGAGGGTCACCTCCTCACTTCTAACTTGCATATCATCAGAACTTCGCGTGAACAAAACCGAGGCAGGCAGTGTAATGTGGTCTACTCCACTCATCGAAGTTAGCTCCAATGTTCCAATGTTGCAAGGTTTCCTGAAGTACGTCGTCAAATCGGTTGCATGGTCTTTGAAAGGGGAGGGCATGTGGCAGTAAAACGCGCCCTTTTACTAATGGTATATACCAACTACTGCTGGAATCAGGTAGGAAGTCACTCACCTATTCATTCAGCCACTTGCACAAATAAATGGATAGACAGACGGGTGGGTAGGTAGAAATGGAGAAGGATTCTCTTTTCTTCACTGCAGATAATTACGTGTCACAGGGAGCTTGTATAACTACGAGTTGATTCCCCTCTTCTTTGTTAACCTCTTAGAATCATGCAGTATATCCTAGATTGCTTGTTGACTGACCGGCTAAAAGACTGGCTGAGAGAGTGAATGATGATGAGAAAAGGCCGCTGTGCTTTTGTATTTGACACCAACTCAACCCAACCCATTCAACTGCACACCGCTATTGTCTACTCCACGTGTGGGTGGATAAAAAGGAGACACTGATTTTCGTTGTGAGTTCTTCCTCCCCTGGAATCCACACATCAACTGGCAATGGGATCAATCCACTCACTATGATGCAAATGTGACTGCAACCACAGCTGCGACAGCAAAGCTTACTGTTAAGCTAATCTAACTCTGAGTATTATATGCTGACATAAAAGCGCACGTGATCCGCGGCACCTCACAATGCCAACTTCGCAACACTGACTTGCACACAGGGTTTACAGAGAAGAAGGGAGGGCAGAGGCAGAGGTGTAAAGAGTGATTCTTCATCGTCCAATCGCGTCTCATCTCGTCTGACTTCACTACACCACATCTCGTCCCCATCCTTATACCAATCACCCTTCTTCATATGTCCCTCATCATGTTTCCTCACACCGTACGCGATTGTAGTGTAATCTTTCCCTGACACTAAATAATCTCAATGTCTGGGACACAGACAGTGGGTAGATAGCACTGAGGAGAAAAATGATGTGGCTCTAACCATTTTATTCACTTTAAGATGACTTTGAGAGGGAGAGAGAGGCAGCCTATATGGTGAGGGGAGAACTCTCAAACTTGCATTTTGTTAAGAAAGACGCCAGTTTGCAATAATGGTGATGGGGATGCTGAGAGGAAAAGAGAAGAAAGAGGGGGAGAGAAATACTGCTACAGCCTTTCTTCTAAGTCTGTACTCCCTCCCTCCTCCGTAACTGTGAAATAAAATAGTTAATTTAAAGGTTTCATGCTTCTCTTGAAAAAGATTAGCTATTGAGGTGGAGACTCCGAAGACGAGACAAGTGGCAGACATTAAAATGTTTCTCTCAAAGCGATATCAATTCTTAAATATTCATTTAACGATTGCATAGGTTTTGGTAGTGTTTATGCCTGACAGCAAGGTTATTTAAACCCACTTTGTTTTTAACAATAATACTATTTTAATCCTTTGTATGTTTTCATGTTCATGTCTTTTACATTGTGAGCTGGTTAGGTAAGAGAGCATGGCGATGGGTACAACAACTACCAGATTAACTATTTAATCAAGTCACTTAGGAAGGATTAAATAAGGGAAAATGCAAACATAAGTCATCATCCAAGGTTTTCCCAAAAGCGGAAGTGATTTAATACCCACATTTTGATAGAAAATTCGTATAATGCAATTGCGAAATATTTGCTACTTAAATGTATTAAGCAAACAAATTATTAAACGTCACCAGGAGAACAGAATTTTGATCTAAAAAGAAACTTTAAAGCTGCTAATTTTTTCCTAGATTACAGATTAATTTCTAAACACTATTATTTAGTAACTAGGTTCTCCTAGAAACTGGTAGGATTTTGGCCTTAGAGATGGTCATTTAACAAAAAATGGAGATCGTGAGATGAAGGAAAGGAGGGGAAAAACGAGACTCGAATTAATTAGGCATTAACTCAGAGCTTGAGGATTTTAGACACAGGCCAAGACAGACTTATTTAAATAGAGGACCCTAGCTACTGGGTTATGATGCATATGGAGACCTACTTTCAGTTACATATGATTTAAATCAGGTGTCGTGTTTGCATTACGTTAACACTTTGCTCTGGTTTCACAGGCACTTGAGGACATTTGCCAAGGCTGGGAGAACCTGTGACGACACTCTAACAGAAGGGTTAATAAAGACGTCTGCCTCCTGCATCTCTTGCGGTTCCGCGTTCTGCAGGAATACTATCAATAAACAAATAGCCGCTACCAGTAAACTACTCAGAAAAATTAGTTACAAGACTGTTTACAACACCGGTGCAAAGGTATCAATGAAGTTAACGTGCAGTGCCTCCTCTTCCACTTCTCTACTAGCTCAATAGAACTCAGATAGGCATGTGAATGGACAGCAGTGGAGTGGGAAACGACGAGAAGCGATACCATCCAGCATTAAATGGCTCTACTTCTGGGGCCAGTGTTTATCCGAATTGTGAAGGACATTCGGGACATCCAACATATTCCCCTTTCCCTCGAAACACTTCCTGAACAGGACGGAACTCCAGATCCAGTGAAATTGCCAGGAGGGATTAATGGCGTTTCAGTCGGATATCTTGCCATTTGCGCACAAATTTACTGACTGGCCCGGTTGGTTGGCGGTTGTATCTTTTACAGCATCAAAAACGTTGTGGTGGCCGACGCAGGAGATTACTCAAGGAGAGTGGCGTGGAGGGCGCTCAAGGTGGGAGGAGGCTATGCAATACTTTGACTGTTTGCTCAACTCTTTGTCATGGTTTCACGAACACTTGGGGCACCGCCTTTGCACCTACAGTTGGGGGCATGGCCTCCATGCTATGCCAGTAGCCGCCAGTCCTGTACTTCTTTAGTACACTTTCTTCCCTCGTATTATATACAAATTCGTTTTCAGGAGAGTCTTCGAATGCTATAACAACATACACACAGGATGTCAACGTAAATTTAAGACACTTTAAAATATATCTTTGAATGAAGCAATCCCATGTCTGCTGGATACTTCGAAACTTGGTGGCAAATCCTAAGGAATTAGCTAAATAAAATAGGGAAAACAGTCCAACTCCATATAGTTAAGCCGATAAAGTATAGTGTGGAAAGAGCAGAGATAATTAGCAACTAACGAATAAACAAAAGAAGTCGATTGTCTTCGGAGCCGCACTACAATACACTAGCCTGCCAACCTTATGAATTATTGAAGTACGGTGTGCTTAATAATCGACTGCAATCACAAAGGAGCGGACCATCAACCACTCCTTCAAGCTAACGGTGACCCTTATGGTAGTTTCGTTAGTGGAAAGGTTTACACACACCAAAGGGGATTTGTGGAACAAGAAAAAACAAGGTTACCATCACCTATCACCCAGAAAGTCAGGTATCATCACATGTGTAACGACCTGTAGCCTATAACTGTGCGCCTTTCCGTAGCCTCTTCATCTCCGGGTCGCGAGGGCACAGTAAAGACTTGGCTGTCACTTTGTCACTCCCAATTACTTTGCAATGAGTCGCAGGTATTTCATCACGGAAGTAGATTCTCTTGTCACTAGTCAGAGGTCGAAGGAAACAACAATCCCGCACCGCTTTCCGCGTTATGATTAAACAATAATTTGCCTTTGGAATTCAGGCGCAATCGCCCATTCTCTCAGGCTAGGTGGGTTCAGCAGTTCCTCGAGGCCGTTACATCTAACAACTTGGATCCCCAACCATTGAGGGTACCCATCTGTCATGGTGAAAGAACTGAAAGGATATGCAGCAAGTACAACCGTTGCAAGTGACACGACTCATGGACTTAACAAATTTCATTCGACTTCTTCCATCCAGCCAAGCAGAAAATGGTCCCTCAGAATCGCATCGTTAAAAAAACAGCAATTTCTCAGAGAACTTCCACTTTTAGATAAGAAAGTTGATGACAATAAAGGTGGAGGGTAATTTAAAACTAGTCAATTTCCTGGTCTTTCAATCCTTCGGTCTTAAATATTACTTTCGGTGTCTCAAAGGTACCTCTGATCTTACTTTTATTTTATTCAGGGTTTCACCATTTCTTGATAGTGTGTCAGATTCTCAGTGCCATGCTGCGATATCAATGGGCTTTCCCACTGATGTTTGCTTTCGGTCTAGTCGGAACTCAGCTACCTACGAGCAGTTAACGGAATGCGCGCAACAAAGTAATTAAATGGGCGAAGGTAGGTGATGTCCGGCTGACCGGGGCGTATTGAAAGGGAGGAACTTGAGACGCTCACCAACACTTCGCAAACGGCATTGGCGTGGGGGTAGTGTTCCGTACTTTCTTGTAAGCAGTTTGGTTCCCTTTCCTCCTGTCGGTATATGCACGTCAGAACAGTATCTCGATAAGAAAAACGAGAATAGAAACTGCTTTGCGAACTAACTCAGTAAGACAATTAGATTGCTGATTTTCTATTGTAGACATCTGTTCGACGGGGGACAGTACCCCACGTCTGCCAAGTCAACCTACATTTAAATTGCGTGGATAAGTAAGGTGCCCATGGACCCCCTAAACAAAACGTTTCACCTTTTCAGGTAAGTGAGGTACTTGAAGTCCTCTAATGAAGTGAATTCATCAGCAGTACACTTATTTATACACGTCCAATCTCGAGATCCGGTCACTGAATCAAAAGTTCTGTTTCCCTTTTGATGCAATTTAGTGAGCAAATTTTTTGACTAGCAGTTGATCCTTCAGCCTGGTTAAATGGTATCCCCTTATGATGTTGCATCGCAATGCCTTTTGACTGTCTCAACTAAGTCATTACTTGTCCTCGTCTAATCACAAGAGTTCAGTGTGGGATATCTTGAAGGTTTGGAAGAAAAAATGGTTACCTATTCCCCTCATCGCTTTTTTGCTACCTCCAAAGCAGGCGTTAACAATGACGAAGAGGCTGATAGAGAAGCAGTGAGGTGGACTTCTTATTTTTCATGCCTTATCTTGCATCTCATACAGCCTTTAACCTCCACAGGACTTTATGATAGTCCCCTGCTCTCCCAGCTTCGTTTGCAGTTTCCTCATTTTCAATGCAAAATAAAGCCATGATCTAACAAAACCACTCCTGTCATTATCAGCACCAAGGTCAGAGTGTGCAACACCTCAAGGCGAGGTTGTAAGTTCCAGGACAGTAGTGGAGGCTGCGATGTTAAGTAATTAACTTGGTACAGCTAGGAGGATGAGACAGGTGGTTAGTGCATGTACCGCAACAGTAGAGATGCAAATAAGGATCAAGAGAGAGAACTTACAGATGTAATTCTAATCAGTCTGACGGGTGGATGATTTCAGGGTTGAAGTAGGAGAAGTGGTTCTTGCTCTCCAAGCAGTCTACCTACCCCTCCGCCTGTTAACGATGATGCAATCTCTCGGCTAATGTTGCCTCAACGTCTCAATGGGTGACTTTAAGGCTACAAAGAATTAATGAACTAAAGTAATCCTTGAAAACGGTAAAAAACTCGTGCATGTCTGTCTGATTATGAATCCAAACTCGTTTCCAAAGTTGTGGGAGCTCCTCACTACCTTCCCAAACGATTTGGCGCAGGTGCTGTCAAAGAATAAACTGCTCAGAGATGATGGGTGGTGGATTCCAAATTCTGGATGACAGTGCGGACGACGACGCCTAGTTGATTAATCTTACTGCTGCATCAACTGGGAGGGAAGTTGTAGACAAGACCGAGGGGACGGATCACATTAGAAGATGAGACATGACTTTAAGGCATAAAAAAGGTGTCGCCAAGAAGGAATTGTATTCTTTTTGACGTCCGATTTTCACAATTAAATAAATCATTTTGGGAAGCTGTCAGATGGCGTCGAGTGTTTAGTCCCAAAATAAATGACGAGACCTACCTCGTACGATTGAATAAGAAGTGCGGTGCAGTAGCACCGACAGTTT